CGCCGTCGGTGGCGCGACGCCGCCCGCCCCGCCCCCGCCCCCTCCCCCCCCCGTAGCCTGGGCTGTCTGCACCGCCAGAACGCTGGGGGCTCAAAGGATGTGCCTCCAGAGACAGTTTATTTTTCAAATAGGAAGAGTCTGTGAAGTTCACTGAGGCCGAGTGCCTGTTTTCCTGTGTGTGTAAACCTGAAACTGAATGCAGGGGGTGTTGACGAGGGTCCTTGGGGTCCGAGCCGATCAATCTGAAGTGATTAAGGGTGTTCTGTCTGGAATACAATGTGCTGAACAAGGAATAAAGATGCAGTAAAACCCCCAGCCTCGATCCTTGATTCAAGGACTTCCCTGAAGGGATGGGAGCTGGCCCAGCTGCTCAGTGGCCTTGGCTGTCTGGCCCGGGGATGGGCGAGAGCTGGGAGCCAGGGGCATGGGCACTGGCACAGCCCGGTGGCTGCTGCTGGACAGTCCAGGGTCTGGGCCTCTCCACACAGGCCGCCTGCAGCACGGCAGGCCTGGTGGGGTCAGGGGGGCGGGGGAGGGCAGCCCACCAGGGCCTCACAGGGAGCTGAGGGCACAGGTGGGTATGATCCAGCCTCGACCTGCAGCCCAAACCCATAGCACCGCCTCGGGGTCAGGATCCAGGCTGGTCCTCAGCTGACCCTCTGCCAGGCCTGGAACAGAAGGGGCCTCCCCATCTGGCCAGTCTATCAGACGCCTGCCTGGGGCAGACACTGGGGTCTGCGGCCCATCCTCCCTGCTCCTAGGACCGGGGACAAGACCGTCCGTCCCTGCCTCCCAGCCCTGGATGTCCAGCCCCTCCCCTGGCTTTGGGTAGTAGCCGTCCTGTGCAGTGTCTCGCACCAGGAGAGGCCCTGCCCACTGCACCATGGCTGCGAGGGAGCCCGTGGGGCAGCCGGGCCCCTGAGGCCCGGTGCCAGGGAGAGTGGGGTCCGGGGGGCGGGGCTGGGAGAGGGCTGACGGACTTGTGCTTTTGGAGGGACTGGTGGGCGGGAAGGGCTCTTGTGCTGGTGCTGACTGTGGACCTGAAACGGGGGGATTCCCTGTGTTTGAACAAGCCGGTCTCCTTGACACGGAGTCGGGGGTGGGGAGGACGTGCTGCAGGAAGGTGGGTCCTGCCAGGCCGCAGCTCGCCTGGTCCTCCGGCCTGTCCACCTGGAGCCAGGGGTTTCTGCTGGGCCTGCAGCCCCGTGGGCCGGCCCTCAGGGCTGCTGGTGAGTGGGGTTTGCTCCCAGTGTCAGGCAGCTGCGGCCCTCCCTGAGCTTCCCTGCTCCTGCCCCACCAGCAGACCCTCTCCCCACCAACCCTTCTCGTCCCCTTCCCTCCAGCCCCACGGGGTCTGCCCCCCTCAGCTGCAAGGCCTTGTCTCACTCCTCCTGTAGCCTCTCCCCAGCCCCGTCCCTGGGATGGAGGTGATCTCAACAAGGAAGGAGTGCTCGCAGCCACTCTGCGACCGTGTGACTGTGCTTGAAGCATCCCACTCCTGAGCCCGTTTCATTGTCAAACTGAGGCTACTCATTCATTTAGTTAAAAAAATTTGCCCAAGTGAATTCCAGACAAATGGATTCAAGAACTAAACCACCCCCGAAGATACTCAAAATAGAAATGAGTCCATGGCGAAGGGCTTTCTGAGCTGGAAGCCAGGGACCAAAACAATAAAGGAGAAGAGATGACACACACCTACCGTCCGCACCGCGAGAACGCGCCGCAGCGACCAGCAGAGCTCAAAACCTCCGCAGACAAAGGCAAATCCCACCAAGCCCGGCAAACGGGCCCGCAGCCCGGGTGGGACAGTCAGGCTTGTTCGCACGCACGGAGGTCTTGGCAATAAGTCTGGTGATAATAACTCTTGGAAGTAAAAGTGCGCCCAGCGCGGACAATAGGCCGTTCACAAGAAGAAGAGATACAGTGACTGATAGGATGCCCACATCATTCATAGTTTAAAAAAATGCAATCACGAGACTTCTGAGCAGCTGACCCACCCTGGCTGAGTTTGCAGCAATTGTTAGCAGCAACAGAAAACCACTGCCCTCTTAGTCTTTGTGTTTTTTTGATTTATTTTTGTTTGTTTTTTGGTTTTGGGGGGAAGTAATAACATTATTTATCTGTTTATTTATCTATTTGTTTATTTAATGAGGCACTGGGGATTGAACCCAGGACCTCAGGCATGCTAGGCACATGCTCTACCACTGAGCTCCACCCTCCTAAACTTTGTACTTTTTCTTCCTGAAGATTTGGCAACGATCTTTGTTGTTTTTACTTTAAAATGGTGGCGTAGGGTACTCAAGGCAGACCACACAACACAAATCGAGCAACAGCGAGTTGTCACAAGGCCAACGGGGCCACCACCTCTGTCAGGAGGCAGCGCTGGCCACACCCCCGGTCTCCCGGATGCCCCTCCCCAGGGAGGATGCCGCCCTGACCTCTGACACCGCAGTGTGGCTTTGCTCCTTCCTAAACTGTGTCGCTCGAGGGGTCACACAGGACAGACCCTTCTGCAAGTCACGTTTCTGTCTGCGAGCCTGTCCACGTGGCTGGGGAGCCGGGCTTCGGGTTTCTCCCAGTGCCGCCGTTTTCTCACGGATGCGGGGACCTCAGCGTGTCCTTCCCACTGCAGGTGGACGCTGGGGTTGTTTCCATTTGGGGCTATTGTAAATACTGCTGCCCTGGACATCTGCATGCAGGTTCCTTGGCAGACACGTGCCCACAGTTCTGCTGGGTGTTCGCCCAGAAGTGGACGGACGTGACCACATGGCGTCTGTGTCTTCCACTGTAGTAGATGACGACCAGTTATTGGCCAAAGTGGTTTTCCAATTCACGTGTCCACCTGGGGCTTACGTGGGTTCTTGTTTGCTCCTTGACATCCTCACTGCCAGCTCTTGGTGTGGTCAGCCTCAGTGGGGCGGGGGCACGTTATCTCCATCCCTGAGTCCTCCCTCCTGCTCAGAGATTTGAGGCGGCCCCTCCCGCATCTCCTGTTCCTGCTGCAGCTGAAACAGACAGAAAGGCCTGTGAGGACATCTTGTGATGCTAACATCAGAAGCATTTTCTCCTATCATTAAAATTCTTCAGAAACATGACTTTAATGACTGCATAATATTCTATTGTATGGATTAACATAATTTGTTTATCCTCTTACTGTATAACAGGGTTTTTTTTCCCTATTGCAAACGATGCTGATAAACGTGTGTTTCTGAGCACTTTTCCAGCGTTAGTTTCCGCTAGTGGGATTATTCAGTCGTTGCTGCCCAATGAACGGACGGGTCTGCAAAACGACCACTTCCCTCCAGTCCAGGTGCCCACTCACCTGGCTGACCTGAGAACGTCTTAGAAAATACACGTTTATAAGAAATTATTTAAAAAAAAATTAAGGCTAACTTGGGGGAAAGTATAGCTCAGTGGCAGAGCATGTGCTTAGCATGTGCAAGGTCCTGGGTTCAATCCCCAGCACCTCCATTAAAAATAAACCTAATTACCCTCCCCCACCAAAGAAACAAAGAACAAACAAAAAGTTAAGGATGACTTGAAAGAATAGAAATAGAGTGTAACTTCCAGGAGAGGAAAAAGAAAGCTGATGAACAAAACTGATCAAGTCAAGAGAAGACAGGAAAGGAGGTGGGGAGACACAAAGGAAAAATTGGGTAAAGAGGAAATATTAACACTGTCCAAGGACATTCAGATATGATCTGATGTGATCATGATGAATAAATTCCTAAACTCCCCTGTTCAGAGAGATTCACATTATACTTTTTAAATACTCTGTGTACTATTTACATGAGATATACCAAAAAAAAAAAATGGCATAAGATTTGAAGTAAGAAGATGAAAAAAATAAATGTGAGGAAATACTAACTGAAAGACAGCAAGGCTGAGAGTATCTATTCCCCTAAAAAGAGTTTTGAAGAGCGTTCACAAGGACAAAGGGGTGTGTCCTACGATGAAGAGAGGGCCTGGGTCACCCCTGGGCCTGTGTAAACAGGGCATCATGACCCCGACAGAAAGCAGAGTGACATTCCCACAGCATAACTGGACGTGTGAACCCGTCTCTTACAGAAAATGTGGACCAACAGGGGAAACAGTTTAAAAAGAGAGATTTAAAGAATGTTGGTTTGATGTAATAGAAAGAATTTTGCTTTCCACAGACACAGTATGCATTTATTTCCAGCACATGAAAAACATTTACAAATGTTTGGCCTATTATAAGGGGAATTTCAATAAACCAAAAGGAAGTCTTGACAATATACAGACCTGTGCCTTCTGTCCACAATGCAATGATACTAGAAATCACAACCGAAGAGAACATTTAAATGCCCAAGTCCCCATATAAATAATCCACTGAAGTGAAAAGTGGAATCCTGCTGGAAATTATAAAACAATAGTAAAAGGCTAAAATGTCAACACTTGTGGGATGCAGCTAAAGTAGTAATTAGAGGAGACTTTATAGTCTCAAATACATCATAGGAAGA